GATTGGCAGATTTGTGCATATCGGTATGCATGGAGCTGTGGTGAGGTCGTAAAATATGCTTTAATTTGTTTGGCTGAGGATACGGAAGGGCATCTGAGCAAATCCTCCCTCTCGCGCGCTCAACATAAATTAACAAATTTACATGTGCTTGAATAGTGTTACGGCGGGGATAAAAAGGTGATTATAGACTGGTGTTCGCTGTTTGCTTGAATACCCATTCATAGAGGTTTGGCATTGAGAATGTTTGAAGCTAATCTTTGCTGAATTCGACCCAACTTTGCGCATTAAACCCGACCGACAAGTGCCACCAGATGTGATCTTCCCATATATAATCAACTAAAAATGTGTAATCCTTCACCTGTGCCACTTACATCCGCCGTACAGTCGAAGAACGGGCTGTATTTATGAACATAACTGAATCTATCTGCATGGATGTAATTTGCTGCAATGCAAACTCGAGAGCTCGGCAATCAGCGTCCTCAATCAATGATTATCCAAGATATTATTCTGACAGACGTTCATTTGTGGAAAATACCAGCACATCAAATGAAGGTCAATGTAACAGAGTTTAAACAAGCAGCTCTGTCTGGATATACTTGCATACACCCATTACCCAATGTTAAAAATGCTAGATCTGTCTTCTGAGATGAAGTGGCAGACGAAAGGACATTTTCCTTTGAGACTAAATATGGAAATGAACTGAAAAAATGATGGGCACTTTTAATTTTGTATTTGAATGTGCTTCACTAAAATGAGAACCATGAGGCCAAACTGTTGCATTGTTTTTTTTTTTTTTGAGTTAAACCCCATTTCATAACATTTGTTTTTGTATGCTAGCTAAATTTGGAAACATTCAACGATCTGTAGAAGCCTCTGAATGATTTCTAGTATAGAAAACAAACAATAAATACATAAATAAATAACACTACTTATCCCAAAGGTTTCCAGGGAAGTTGTAATAGACGCTATTTTCCTCTCTTTGGGTGTCTCTGGGAATTGCATGCGGTGTGTCTAGAATACATTCTCCACCCTCAAGGTTGCTGACGAAAAAAAAGAAAGAAAAAAAGCAGACTGGCTTCCTTTAATAAAATAGATAATTAACTGTTTTTTTTTTTTATTTCTACCCATCCACAATAAATGGCACATGTCTAGAGAATTAATTTAATGAGAAGACAAACGAAATATCATCTCCAAAAGGTTTTGCCTTGTTGCATTTGGCAGTATTGGCAGTCAATCAAAACTGCATTAAATAAAAGACTTTCAGTTTCAGCATACTGGAATTTGCTGTGGAATTTAAACAACCCAATGAAACCATTTTTGTATGCTAGGGAAACATTCAACGATCTGTAGAAGCCTCTGAATGATTTCTAGTATAGAAAACAAACAATAAATACATAAATAAATAACACTACTTATCCCAAAGGTTTCCAGGGAAGTTGTAATAGACGCTATTTTCCTCTCTTTGGGTGTCTCTGGGAATTGCATGCGGTGTGTCTAGAATACATTCTCCACCCTCAAGGTTGCTGACGAAAAAAAAGAAAGAAAAAAAGCAGACTGGCTTCCTTTAATAAAATAGATAATTAACTGTTTTTTTTTTTTATTTCTACCCATCCACAATAAATGGCACATGTCTAGAGAATTAATTTAATGAGAAGACAAACGAAATATCATCTCCAAAAGGTTTTGCCTTGTTGCATTTGGCAGTATTGGCAGTCAATCAAAACTGCATTAAATAAAAGACTTTCAGTTTCAGCATACTGGAATTTGCTGTGGAATTTAAACAACCCAATGAAACCATTTTACAAAGATAATTTGCTAATTAACAGGATTGGGCCTGCTGTACAACAGCTAGCATATATTGTATACTAGACATGGGCCAGGATCTTGATAAAGTTGCAAATCACACACTTAATATCATCTTGTAATTGTACAGCATATCCTAATTAAAAGTTTGTGTCATTACACGAGCTGTGGAATTTACAATCATTTGGGAAAATGATGGTAACACATTACTTAAAGCCTTTGTACATATAATGCATTATTAACAGTATTCATTTTGCTTTTGTAACACACCTTATAATACATTGAATGATCTTAAGAGTATTAACCATAGTTATGATGCATAATAATACTTATCTATTCATTGCCACACAATGCATTAACACACATGACAAATAACCAATTTCAAGGAATCTGCTAATTTTAGAATGCATTTGAACTTTGGTTACAATTCTTTATGAAAGGATATAATGTAAATTATGGAAATCTATACAGTGCATTATACATAAAAGCTTCAAGTGTTACACTAATAATAATAATAATAATAATAGTAATACATTAATTAAATAGGATCAACATGAACTGTTCAAATGAACTGATTCGCTTTAATGAACACTATATGTCAGACAAACATTCTAAGGAATAAACACAGAACTCTTGCAGATTACACAATACCATTTGACCTAAAATGCTACATTTTTATTTATTTTTTATCATGCTATACCGCTAATTGTTACGAAAAGTAGCCTAATTACACTGTTTAACAATGGCACTGCTATTGTCACCCTGCTGAAAAATTTAGATACGTTAGTAATGTCACTATTTTTAGTTAGTTCCTTGACAAAATTGCTACATATAACTTTCTGTTTACTGCTTAGGGGAACTTGTGTTCTTTGAGACATTCTCCGCAATAAATCCCCCGTAAAGCAATGCAAGTGCTATCTATCAGTATCTTCCTATAATATTTTTTGAGAACAGACTATTAGATATACATTCAAACACAATGAGAAGCAAACATCGAGCACAGGTCTGGCAGCCTGTCATATATATCCTGATAAGATCCAGCTACATGAGCAGAGACAGTATGATAGCACTCCCATCTTATGAACATCAACATACACATCAAATTTCCAACACGTCTGACAGCAATGATAATTCCAATATATGCTTTGAAGCAGATCGTATCAAGCTACATAATGAAAGCACCTGACACTACACGCGTAAGGATGATCAAACCACAGATGACGTGCTGTTGATGTTTCTGTGTTTGTGGCGCGACATTTACCAGTCTGTTGTGCATTTCTATTTCTCAGCTGTCTGGACAAATGTGTTCAAACGTAGCGTGCAGCTTTATCTCTGACGTCGCTTCCCTGCCGTACTTCATCACGTCTGTGTGCTGACGCATGATTCATCACGTCCACTCTCATGTACTCTGATAATACTTCAGAACATAAGTCACTGTTTTCTTTCATATAGAGTGGGATGACACAGTGGTTAAAGAAGCCATTCACACAAACATTAAAAAATGTATCTGTATTTATTTATTTTCAGGTGGAGAGCGTTCAAACATAGCGTGCAGCTTTATCTCTGACGTCGCTTCCCTGCCGTACTTCATCACGTCTGTGTGCTGACGCATGATTCATCACGTCCACTCTCATGTACTCTGATAATACTTCAGAACATAAGTCACTGTTTTCTCTCATATAGAGTGGGATGACACAGTGGTTAAAGAAGCCATTCACACAAACATTAAAAAATGTATCTGTATTTATTTATTTTCAGGTGGAGTGCAAACGAAGACATTTCTGTGCTGCTCTTTTCCACACTGTGGCCATAGCTGTCAAGTGCTACAAACAACATCTTAACATTATTAAACATTGAACACGTACATAAATGAAACCAATTGAGTTGTAAATCAGAGTTTCCAACACTACATATGCCAGGCAAGCATTCTGGGACAAATTTAAGTTTAAATCAATATACACCACCAGCTTTTTCTTAAGCTTCTTGAAGTTTGTTAAAGTTAATGGTCACATACTTCGTTGACTCATTAATGTTGAGTGCTGGTTAATTCATGTTCCCTATGGCTTTCACAAACCTGAAAGTCAATCTAATAGAATGCTTTTTTTCTTCTTCTTCTTCTTCTTCTTCTTCTTCTTCTTCTTCTTCTTCATTAAATTACTCTAATTGCCCCTCCCATATTAATAAAAGCCAGGTTGACTATGGTTGAGTTCAGAAGTTAATGATCCATTATTTAGGGGATATGTAATGAGAGCTTAATTAAGTATGTAATGGAAACGCTTTAAAGCAGCGTGTACAGTGCGGCCACACAGATGGCCAAGCAAATGCTAAAATAATGCGTTCTGTTATCGGTTTGGAACAAAATCACAGAGTTCAGCGAATGCATTCACACAGCATGAGTAATGAGGAAACCGCAAACATCAGAAATACATTCTGTGGCATTTTAGCTATTCTTATTATTCATTTCGGCAAGCTGTCAGTTATATAAATCACACTATATAGACCAGGGGTGGGCAAACTTGGCCCTTCCAGGCCACTTTCCTTCAGAGGTTAGCTCCAACCCTAATCAAACACACCTGAACCAGCTAATCATTGTCTTCAAGACTACTAGAAGGCTACAGGCAGGTGAGTCATATCAGGATTGGATCAAATCTCTGCAGGAAAGTGGCCTGGAAGGGCCAAGTTTGCCCATCACTGATATAGACAGTTCCCAGCCCTTGTGTCTTTAAGCAGCCCCATACTCCCCATATAATTCACATAAACTGCATATAGACTTTACATGTTTCATCCACATATGACGGCATGTCAGACATTTAATGAAGTTGGCTAGATTACTCCAATAACGCCACAGCCTGGCCAGGGAAGCACCAGAAAGCTCGCAGCTAGCGTATGTAAATTGGAAACTTCAAATATAGCTTAACTGATGAAGCAATTCTCTCTTCTGGCTGTTCTTTGGCCTGATCTGTCAGTCAGCGTCAGTTAGCCATGCGTCGGATTGATGGTTACTGTTCAGGGCGACTGAATTCCCTGTATGACAAAATAATGAAAAAAAGACGTATGGTTAAAGTTCAATGGGGGACCTGGGGGCTTTCATGCCTGACAAACATATTATTTGCTTGATAAACTGACAAGGCCAGAATACAAAAGAGTTGAGTGGGCATGTAACCTTTACTGGAATGTAAAAAAAAGACCCAAATAACAATCTGGGAAGTCTGTAGCATGCATGGTTTCTGACTGGACACTGTGCCATTTCTGGCCCCCTTTCAGTTTTGTAACAGAAGATCAGTGCTAGGAGTAACTAACTAAATGTAGCACTATTTTTGTTTTTAACAGTGTGAGTAATTGTGATTATTATGATCATTCACCCTTAAGTATAGCTTCAGTGTGGTTAGCTCATTTTTGTTAGTGACTTTCAAAAGAGTAGATTGACTATAGATTAACTATAAATCATTGGTGGCTTGCTGCTGGGCAATTTACAGTTTGGAAGTAGCTTCGACCATGCAGATTACTTTTAGACCCTGCAAATGAGTGCAATTCATATGTAAAATTGCATTATCCATATAGAAATCTTTGAATTGCACATTACGTTTGCTCTCATGCATAGCTCCTCGATAGTTGGGATATTAGGTCATTTTATCGCCCGTGTCTAGGAAGAACTGGAACTGGAACGATCGAGTCTTCTTTAAAATGCCCATTTTCGAGTCATATTTAAAAGGACCATTTTCAGGCCGTCCTCTGTAATAAATTCCGATTCGGAAATGGCTTCATAAATAAACCTGAATTAGTTTGAAATTGCCCATTTTCACAAGGCCAATTGGAAAATAACCCCCCTCATCTCCGTTTCCATCCACTACTATGCCTCTTTGGAAAATCCACAGAATAAGATTGCACATTAGGCCATTTTGTAGCAGAGTCCGGCGAGTGAAAGGAAGCAGAAATGCAAAGCTCACATCATGTACGCTGATTTGGTGAGTAGAGAGCTGAATTTTGATAACTCTGGGATTTTCAAATGTATCACAGTGTCCTTTCAAGGCTTTATAGACAGAAAAGGGCTTACACAAGCAATTTCATTCATTAGTGTCTGGACATGGGCTGCTGCCCTCCATCGCCTTTGCCTCGCTGGTCTGAGTGTGTCGCTTACTTAGAAAGTACAGAATGACTTCCAAAAATCAGTCCAGGTTTAATTGTGCAGGGCTAATTAAAAGAATCGTTCAGGCAAATATGAAAATTCAGACATTATTTTCTCTCTCTTCATGACGTGTGAAACCCGTATGTTGCTGTTAGACACAAGACATGGGCATTGTCACACTCGCTTCTGTACAACGACAGTTCATGGACAGTGTGCAAGGTTTTCAAGCTGCAAAAAGACAAAATAAACACTATTATGGCAAGACACATCAGGTGAAGAGGCTAGATGATTTAACTAGTATTACCATATTTCCCCAGTGAATTAATCACAGTATATTAAGACAAGGGTTTTGTATTACAAAAACATTTAGCGTTGCTGTTAGACACAAGACATGGGCATTGTCACACTCGCTTCTGTACAACAGTTCATGGACAGTGTGCAAGGTTTTCAAGCTGCAAAAAGACAAAATAAACACTATTATGGCAAGACACATCAGGTGAAGAGGCTAGATGATTTAACTAGTATTACCATATTTCCCCAGTGAATTAATCACAGTATATTAAGACAAGGGTTTTGTATTACAAAAACATTTAGAATTTTTGTGTTTAAATAAGCAAATGATGAGTAACAATTAAATATGTACACATTTGAATGCATTCCCAAAAATAGAAATGTAAATCTTGGTTAAAGCCTTAGTAAGGGTTTTTACAGAGGAGATTTTGGGTGACTCTATTTTCTGATTTATGAAATGATAAAAATTTTAATAGCTGGGGGGGGGGCTTTTGGCTCAGTGCAGGGTGGAATTAATTTTAAGAAAACAACCTTTAAATATATGCGTTGTAAAAGTCACATTAGTGTTAATATCACAGATGAAGTGTAATAAAATAACCATTTTGCTTTTTCTGGAAAAATACATACCATGGAAGCAAAATCCCAAAATTGACCAGTGCATGAAAAAAAATAAAATAAAAACAATCAACTTACATTAGTTTGCACACTGTGATCTGAATTCTAAATCGACTCCTCGTCATGTCCTGAAATGTTTGACATCATAATGACATTGGTTCACAACATGCTAGTTGGAAAAATGAGAATGTGATTTGTAGCAGAAAGATTTTCCATGAAGACAACTTAAATTGCAGGCTGTCCCTTACACACATATTTTGTCCATTTTAAAGCATGTACAGCCATGGTCAGGCGTTATGAAATTTTGCTTGGAAAAGAGATGCGTTAAGATCCTTCTTTTTTGATTCCTTCTGTTTTTGATTTCAGATAGTGGTGTTTTGAAAAACACCAGAACGCTTAAAATAACTTCCAAAGTCAAATTTCTCAAAGTCAAATAACTGAAACTCTGCTTCTATGCCGATACATTTACTGAACATTGTCTGTGCTGTTAAATTATGAAACCGATTAGCTCAAGGGAAACTCTGCGATCTACTGTCAGCTTAAAATGTGGAAATCTCTGTGTATGATTAAAGGACTGGTAATGCGTATGAACATTATTTTATCAATTACAGCTACTTTAAATTGTGGATGTTTCCCAGCCTCAAAAAAAGCTTGTATTGAGATAAACTGTTCTTCAAGGTACATGACTCAAGTGTTTTGGGAAATGCATCATCTGCTTCAGAGTGTGACCGAATAAGCAGTAGACGTGCTCCTAAAATAGTAGCAAGCTACTTGAGGACCTATCGCGGTTATATTTATTGCAAGTTATATGTGACGATATAGTGCTGGCCAGTAAATGGGTTTCTGTATAAGGCATAATCAAGGTTGATCAAGGCTTGCTGGAGTGGCCAGGAAAAGTTGTTTAGGATGCAAGAAAAGTATGTTGTAAATGTCATCAATTTTAATCAAGATCAAAGTGCCCTAGAAAGAAAACAATCAAAGCAAAAGGAAGAAGGCTTCCTGTATCCCGCAGCAGCAGGATAACAGAGTCCTCAACAACCCTGGGCAATGAAGCGCCTAGAAAGAAACATTGTCTTTTACAAGTTTTTATTTTATTTATGTTGTATTCTTTTTTTTGTATCATAAACAGCCACAACCAGGACTACGCTTAGTTTATATTCTATAGATCACTGGTCCAAAATCATGCTGCATACATTGAAACACTTTTTTTTTTTTTTTTTTACTTCTGTGATGTGACATTTTCATGTTTAGATGTTCAGCGGTCACCCATATATGTTACCCTGAAGCACAAAAGCAGTTTTAAGTCGCTGGGGTATATTTGTAGCAATGGCCAAAAATACATTGTATGGGTCAAAATTATAGATTTTTCTTTTATGCCAAAAATCATTAGGACATTAAGTAAAGATCATGTTCCATGAAGATATTTTGTAAATGTCCTACCATAAATATATCAAAACTTAATTTTTGATTAGTAATATGCATTGCTAAGAACTTAATTTAGACAATTTTAAAGGCGATTTTCTCAAATTTTTGTTTTGTTGTTGTTGCCCCTCAGATGTATCATTTAATTAATTTGGTAACAAAAACATGAACATTGTATATATATACGTATATTTTTTTACATAAAATGTGATTGTTTTTATTAGTTCAAAGTGCATTAGCTAATGTTCACAGGTGCATTTGAAAAAAAATAAAATAATAATAATAAAATATATATATATATGAGACCTCATAATATACATACAGTACATACATATATATATATATATATATATATACAGTGGGTACGGAATGTGACCCAAAAACTGTGCTTTCAATGAGAATTTCCCATTTCTGGTGAAAACGTTACATTTTAATGAGAATGAGCCAGTTTGTTTAGAAGGTGTTCAATATGTATCAATTACGATAACAGTTTTAACGATATGAAAGCTGACATTGAGTATATAACTCATTTCGCAAAAATCTAACCAAAACATGTTCACACTACATAATGTAGCCTAGTATGCCGTTAAAATGACCCCAAAATGTAATATGAGGTCGGGAAAAATGCCCATGTGTGAGATTTTGTCTTATATTTCTATATGATAAAGTTAGCCAATATCATGTGAACAAGCGCTGCTTTTATCAAAAATCAACACGATTGCAAATGTGATTTTTATAAGAGTTCAGTAAACAAGTTCATATTTTGTTTCATTTTAGACACAATATTGTCTTTTTGCTGTTGTGCATCAGAGCAACACACAGTTGTTTCTTATTCCCCAGCATTTTTTAACAAATCAATGTTTCATTTGCTTTGTTCCTGAATGAATCAGCTGAATGACTGATTCAATGACTCACTCATTAAGACAGTGACTTTCCGCCACCTACTGACAGTTTTAGATTCATATGCAAAGTATAATTTATTTATTTAAATGAATCATACAAATATGAATTTTAAATGGTAATCTCATAGCGTTAACTATGCAATTGTAATGGCAGTGCAAATACTTCTAAATGTTGCTTTAGATGCAGCAGCCAAGCAATGCAAAAACACACTCTGCATAATATTGTTAATTTTGAAGGCAATGCACAAATGTATTCTGACAACACATTTTGATTAAACACCTTGAGCTATGTATGTAGCTTTGGATATAACAGTCTACCAAGTGCATACATGCAAATATTATTGAACGTAGTTCGATGTTTTATCTAGATCCTGATAAATGATGCATTGCACTGCTGTAATTAATATACAACCCCTTTCTCCTTCAGAATACATGTTCAGTGCCTAAATAACTGATTTGTGGTCAAAATAGATGAACATTTTATTTTAAACAGCAATACATCCTAGATAAAGTCAGATCGATTAACAACACAGCCAGTCTGTGACCTGCAGTGATAAAACTGATGTTAGAATGAACAGGGCATATAGACAAACATCTAGTAAATACAACATAATGTTATAAAGCAATCTAGCCTCATAGATCCTTCAAAAATGTCCAACGTTTTACATGTTTATTATGATCAAAGGGTGTCATTTTTATTGCATGTGCCCATGGCAGTAAATTAGTCATCAAAAAAGGCAAACATCTAAGCAAACAAATGCTTTTCCCATGCATGTTTTTCACAGATCTTTTGCCATGAAG